CTTTCCCAGTTTCTCACCATCTGGACCCAGACCTTCTAATCCTAGGACACCTTCTGGACTTACGATCAACTTGGAGCCCACAATCGCGTACGAACTATAGTACTACTTAAACTTTACTAAAGAAGTCAATCACTATCTTGATTCATCTAAGGCCCGTATCCTAGGCACGCTGGGACTCCCTTTCCTATTGAGATAAGGGAGCCAAAGGCTCTACTCTTTCAAAAAACCACAGTTGCAAGGACTCCCAGTCCCACCAGGATTTGAAGACCCTGCAGTCACTATTTAAGCAGAGGTTAGCTCTCTCACAGAAATGAGACATTACACCTTCAGACCCTGGATTTCCCACTCTTGAGAACTTCGCATTACAGATGTAGTCACAATTTTCAACTAGACTTCCGGTAACATTTCATCTCTCTAACCCTCACTAAACTAGCCTTACCCAGCCTTGCTGACTTGAGCGTCGGAGTGCTTACGGTAAACACCACCCCTTCACGCTTGTTTTTTTACGTGTGCAGGTGCAGCAGATCGTTAGTAGTCTCAATCTCATGGGATCAGTCTCTCTTTCCGTAAAAGTAGATTTTTACATCTACAAGTGGTTCATTAGATTACTATATTGTCTTTTATTTTTTACTTTATGATTTGTTTGGCTTGAAAATATTCCTCCGACTTCGCATATTATGTCCTTGGTAACCAGAGGTTCGGTAATGGATGCTCTTAAAAAAGAAACCAGTATCCTTCTTTTGATATTAAAAAAAATAAACAGAGTATAGTATTTAAATAGGTACTGATTTTAGAAGCATTGACTAGCAGGAAAAGGTTGTTGAGCAGTCTTGTTCTTCCAACTCCCAAGATCTACTTCAAACCGAAGCCTTTTTATAAATTAATTAATAAAATTCTATAGATAATTACAAATAACCTAGCCATTATTTATTTTCTTTAGATTAACGAAACTTCTCCTAATAAAAATTTAAGTACTTGTTGAAAATTCCTTCTTTCACCATCTTCAAAATTAACCATTTGACAAGAAATTTTGTCGTTAACAGGTTTTCAAAAATAGTTAAAACTCTTGAGAGTTATCGATCTCTTAAATACATATGAAATTAACTTCTTTTTTGTTACTAAAAACACTTTTTTATTCGTTTCAACAAAATGTTATAAAATAAGTGTCTTTTTTTCTCTATACAATTTTGAAGCAATATTTAGAAGTATCAAGAACCAAAATCTCTACAATGTTGAAGATATTGATGGTGTTCATATAAATCCTCTTAAATAAATAAAAAATTGAGATAATTATCTCTTTTTTAAACTTAAAAAAATCCATGATTCAAGGTAGAAAGATTAGGTGGGAAAACACCAGTTAAGAAACCAACCTTGTTATTCTTATATAATTAATTTTGTTACCAAAGAATATTAGTTATATGGTAATAAAGTTTAATTAATTAATATGATGGTGATGCGTCCAAGCCACCCAATTCAAATTCAACTCACCTTTATATAAACTGGTTGACTCATTAGGGGCATTGGCATGTCAATATCAGATTTTGTCACTTTAACTTCCCTTTAATCACGCTCATTTTTTAGAAATTTATTCACAATAATTAAGCCGACAATTGTTGCATTTAGACAAATATAGAGGAGAAACTGGAGTTTCATTACTCAGATTTCCTTTTTCTTTTTTTCTTTGATTTTTTTTTAAAAGGGAAATATCAATTTACTATTCTCTTTTTATGAAATTAACAAGTTTGTGACAATTATTTGAATATCAAAGTATTAACTATGGGGTAAAGTGATATTTTTACTCAATAGACATAATGAATTTTTAAGAATGTCAAAAAAAAAAAAAAAAAAAAAAAAAGGATATTTTTGTTATTTTTGAAACGTTGGAGGTAAAACTATAATTACCACAAATCAGTCATCACATACCTATCTTTCACCAAAGACCCCGTTTATAAAATGATTCCATGATTAGGGAGCCTCGTCTTATTTAATACTAAAGATGATATTAAACTAGAAATATTTGACATTAAAAAAGATTATTCAATAGGTAATATAAATTGTAAGAACAATAACATAAAATTTTCGACACTTTATATAAAAGTGCACAAATTAAGATTAAAATTTGCTCTTGAATGAATTTTTACTTATATAAACCTAAATTTTATGATTGATAATTAATAAAAAAGAATTATGAGTTAAAATACATACAAAATATACATTTCAAAACTTATTATTAATCATACATATAATATGGATGTTGATAGAGTATAGTAGTAAACCTCCAGAGGTTGGCCAAGTAATCAAGAAGGTTTGCTTCATTTGTTGATTTTCTGAGTTCAAACTAACTTAGGGTCACCTATTACATTTATGGCTTATTTGAAATATTTGATTTTTAGGGTGTTCAATAAGGATTAATTGAGGTATACGCAAACTGGCTCACACGCCTCGGTTATTAAAAAAAAAAGAAATAGTATAGCTGTACTTTAATTGTAACTAACTACAAGTCTACAACTTTCATTAATAAGATTTTTATAATAATATAACCATTTTCTCCAAGTAGGATGTTTGATGTTTTTAGTGTAAACATATAAAAAAAAAAAATGGGTATATAATAATTGATAACATAATAAAATATGAGAATAACTCTTTGTTTTGTATGAAAAATAAATAAATTCTGAGAATACCCTTTTAAATTAATTAAATTTAATATAGTAATTACATCTTTTAAATGTTCTTAAAAGGGTATTACTTGATTTTTTTTTTTTTTAAAAAAAAAAAGAAATAACAAAGGAGAGGAAATAACTTTATATTTGAACTATCTGGTGACTGAGTGGTTCAATAGAAATTTTTGGATATATTACTCAAGAAGTCTTTAGTTTGAGTCTCTCCTCGATTGTTAATAGGGATAACCATTAAAACTCTTATCCAACTGGTAGTTTCAAGGTTCTGGGCGATTAGTTTAGATGACATAAGTTGGTTTGGACACTTTCGGTTAAAAAAAACAAAATTATATTATAGAAACTTAATTAGAGGTCACATTGATATAAGGTCTTGATTGGAGTTCTTGATTAGATATATATTGTCAAAAAGTGAAGTGCTTAGAAATCATATTAAAATATAAGTAGAGTAAGATGTTTACCTTGGATAACTTTTCTTATCAAACTCAATACCTACTTTTTCTTCTTTCAAACTACCATTATTAATTAATTATGAAGTACCTTACTAATCATCACTTAATTATGAGGTAATTTTATGTTGAGTAGTGCTACATTGATAACCTTTTTTTACAAACTTTCTTTCATAATCACGATGTGACAGCTTATAATTGATCAGTCACAATTTATCAAGTGAGACCTAAGTGAAACTCATTACAAGTTGACTAATTACGAACTGTTACGTCGCATCGAGATTGTGAAAAGAGGTTGTGAGTGTAGCATTTTCCCTTTAGGCTTTAGTAATTTCAAGAGTTAGTTATTAGTTAAAAAAATCGTTGAGTACAAGTACTTGAGATTCAATGATCTCTCATGGGAAGGATAAATTAACCTCTTAATTACATTATATTATGAATTTAAGATATAATGAAGTAACAATTTTGTAAAATATACCCACAATACAACTTATATGTAAAAGATTTTATGTCATTTTTATTTATCAATTATCATGAACAAAATAACTTAGGTGCCATTTATATTTTTAAAAAAAAAAAATTTTAAAAAATCATTTAAAAAGGAAAGATAATTAGATTTAGTGTGTATAGTTGGGAGTATATTGATAGCCCTTTATTCTTTTTCAGAACATGATTTTGAAAATTACAACAATGGAAGTATTTAGTATGATATTTCTAATTGAAGAGAAAATAATGATTCTATCCAAATTTGAAGTTAAAATAAATAAATCATGATCCATGCTTTTTCAATGTACAAAAAAAAAAAAAAAAAAAAAAAAAAAAAATTAAATTAAATAAGAAGTACATATTTCAACATATTACAAAATGTACAACAAAAGTATAGTTCAAGTACCAAATATATACACAAAATAAAAAGTTTATTTATATATAATTTTCGAGTACAACCTTAAAATTTTTAATACACGGATCAAAGGTTAGAGACTTACCATTGACTTTTATTTTTACATTTGCAAGTCAATAGCAAAAAGTTAATAGTTTATGTGAAATTTATATTAAGAAAAAAAAAGGGTGAAAAGTTTGCATGTTATGTGTTTGTAAATGTTGAAGTTGCTTTAAACCAAAGGAAACAAAAGTGTATAGATTGAGTCGAAAGAATTAATAACATCAAATTTTTAGAAAGTCCAAAAAAAAAAAAAAAAAAAAAAAAATTCTTATTTGTTATTATTTGTTTTGCTCTCAAAGTTTAAGTAAGTGAACATAGCGATGGGGTGTTGTACTAATCACCTATAAGGATTAGTCGAGGTGTACGTAAGCTGGTCCAGATAAGGAGGGGATTCAAAATTCTTATTTAATAAAACAAATAATAACAAAATTTGAAATATCTTATTTAAAAGTGAAAATTATAAACAAATATTATTCTATCTTCAAACTTATTGATTAATTAATGTTTAACCTTAAATAAACCTGAAGCTTTTTAATAATTCAATAGAGTTAAAGTTTTGTATCATAAGAGATCATAGTTATAATATATTAATGTATTTTTTCTTGTAAACAAAGTACATTAAAATATGCAAAAAAAATTATTTATTTTAATGGTCTAAGCAACCCTTAATTAATACGATATATAGGTACCACCAAAGCCATTAATTAAATATATATACACTTACTAATTTATGTAAAAAAAAAGCTTGTGAAAATAACATTAATAAATAAATCATTTTAAGTGGAAAAAGAAAAGGCAAAAAAAGATGTAATAAATAAAGCAGAGTCGGGGAGACAGAAGACAGTGTATCATTTTCTTAGCAGACCACAAGTGTCGGTGGTGTGAGGAGAGACCTTACACTCAAACAAGTTGATCTCTCTTTGTCTCTCTCTCTCTCTCTCTCTCTCTGCCCCTTCTTTTATTATCCTATATGCTTTAAAGTTTCAAGCTTTAACCACTTCACTTCAAATCACTCCTTCCTCTTTATAACTCTTTCATTATCCTCTCCACAATTAGAACCACCAAGCTTTTTCCAAGATGGGTGTTGATTTGAGGCAAGTGGTGGCTGCTGTCTTGACTCTCACCATGTTTGTTATGCTTGGTAACATGATTAAAAGAGACCACTTTGATTCCGTCACTGTAAGTTTTGCCTCTTTTTTTGATCTACTTTGCATTTGAAAATTCCCCATTTCTAACTTTTGTTTGTTTATGTTTAAATTTTTAGTTTTTTGCTTGTTTGATCCGTTTTATGGCTTTGTGCTTGTGGGATTTTTTTTCTTCTTCATGGATTTGTTCACTTGTTGCCTTAACTTTATGTTGGGCTGTGTTGGAAATGGAGAGAAATTGTAACGAAATATTAAAACTTGACACTGAATAAGTATTGTGAAAATTTGAAGATATCTTATTTCCTTTTTTTTTTTTTTTTTTTTTTTTTTGGGAAAAAAAGGAAAAGCTTCCAGGTGAAATACAGGATGTTGCAAAGGTTGCGGAGCAGGGTCTTTATACAATTGCTAATATGGGCAAAGGGCCTTGGTTGGAGGATGGCCAAGAACTAAAACCTTGTTGGTCTAAGTCAAATTATGGTTAATTAACTTTTAACTCTTTAAAACTTGTACAAAATTTTAAGGATTATTGTATATCTGCTTAGATTTATACACACATGCTGACATACATGCTTGTATACATATTTCTCTGGAAGATGCATCTCTTTGATTGATTTGTTTTGTGTTTGATAGATGAGCTGTCGCGGTCGAAAGGATATGTTACATTCTCATTGACTAATGGACCTGAATACCATGTCTCACAGGTATCCTTAATAGCCGTTTGAGTTTTACTTGTTATTCCTTCTGTATTTATGTTCGTACAACTGAAATGAGAGTATCTTCAAAGCAGGAGTATATCTGGTTTCAAATGAATTAGTAAGCTAACTGGTCTTTTTTCTTGGTTTTCCAATGATGGGAATATGAATAGTAATAATAATTTTGGATCCTTTAGGGTTGTACAACTGAACATTCTACCATACTTTGGTATAGGGCTAAAGCTGAAAAACTTTTGTTCCGTATTGTACTTTGAACACTTGGTGCATTATACTTGTGAATACTTGTTATTATCAGTTCTAATAATGTATTGGCTCCTTCTCATTCAGTCATAACCTGTTTTCGCTCACCTTCTTCCGTGGTGACTGTAGAAAGTAGTAATGAAAATATAGTCATTGTGAGGCAGTTTCCTCTCTACTACTTTCCTGTTTATTGACCTCCAGTTTTAGATATGTCTCAATAATTATACATGAAGAGATGAAGGTACATTTTGCTTTTAAAGTTGTTGTCAGGTTCGACATTGTTGTCATCTTTTGAGCATGTCTCTGTTGTGTCAACTACATTAATTTCTTTTGACTAGTTACATGTGTTTGTTTTCTTATGTTATACATGTATATATTTTTTTAATCAAGGTTAGAGAAACGAATAAAGATTATTTCTTTTGTTTTTGCTCAATTTTTGATATCCATTTGTGGTGATTACATTTTTCAGATTGCTGATGCTGTGGTTGTAGCAAGTGTTCTGCAAGCAACGCTTGTTGTCCCTGACATTAGAGGAAGCAAACCAGGTGATGAGAGGTTAGTGCTCATGGTGACTCTTTTAGACATCACTATATTCCCTGACAAGTATATTTTCTGCTACTTCTGCTGCCATATTATTTATTATCACTGTTACCATCATCAAATAAAATTTATTGGTTGGCTTTGAATGAGCAATAAAATGAACTTTCTGCTACCTGAAAGGAATCTCTGTTTTCTTCATTGTTTCATTTTTTATGCGTTCATTCTTTATTTTTTGGTTTTTGTTTTTGGGGCTTTTTTGACCCTTGTATGTATAGGTATACTGTGCACAACTTGTTCGCTTCTATGTATTACTTTCTTCAATTTATATAAGTTTTCTTGAGTTTCTTATTTATAAAAAATATATCTCACTAACCTAAGCATGTTAACTTGTTTCTGCCCTGGCAACTTGTAGCTGACTGAGCTAACTCCTCTTATTTAGTCGGCAAGATCACATTTTTTTATCTAGCTTTGGAAATAGTTGCATCATGAATAACTGGAACACATGTAAAGCATTAATTTTAAGTTCATCTCTATTCATGCAGAATTGTAATGCTTGGCTGAGAAGTAGTGCGTTGACCATAACAAAATTAGTTTGTGGGTACTAATAGAATTTGAATTTTACAGGAAATTTGAAGATATTTACGATGTTGAGAAGTTCATAAGAAGCCTGGATGGAGTGGTCAGAGTAGCAAAAAAACTGCCTGATAAGATATCAATCCGGAATCTTGCGGTTGTGAAGGTTCCTAATCGGGTCACAGACGACCATGTCATAGAAAATATTCACCCAATCTTTAAAGCAAAAGGCAACATAAGGCTGGCAACTTACTTTCCTTCGGTAAATATGAGAAAGGCGACAGAGAAAAGTAATACTGATTCAATTGCATGCTTGGCAATGTTTGGAAGTTTAAAGTTGCAACCTGAGGTTAATGAAGTTGTTGACTCTATGGTTGAACGACTAAGAGCTTTGAGTCGAAAGTCAGATGGTCGGTTCGTAGCAGTGGACTTGAGGGTTGATCTACTGGACAACAAGGGTTGTCATGAAAGCAGCCCTGCTGGGAGAAAAAGTTGTTACAGTGCACACGAGATTGCTATATTTTTGAGGAAGATAGGATATGACAAGGATACTACCATTTACTTAACTCAGTCAAGATGGGATAGCAGCCTTACGGTGTTGAAAGATATCTTCCCTAAAATGTATACAAAGGTAAGGCTTTTTCCTTCATTCTCTAGATTACACTTCAAATTAAGTTGTTCCTTGTTCCAATTTAGGAAAGCTGTCCAATGTTATCTGTGAAAATGAGTCCCTACAACTTTCTTTTTACCCTGACTTTTGTCTTTGAATCCTTCAAAAATTTTCTATCATTTTGAAATCCTCTTTTCGTCCGGATACAATTACAGGAAAGCATAATGCCTGCAGATAAGAAGGATAAGTTCCTAGAAACAGAAGATTCAGAATATGAAAAGGTTATTGACTTCTACATATGCTCTGAAAGTGATGTTTTTGTTCCAGCCATCTCTGGCCTGTTTTATGCCAATGTAGCTGGAAAAAGAATAGCCTCTGGTAAGACTCAAATCCTTGTGCCAGCGGATATTTCTGGTTCCTCTGCTCCTGCTACTGATTTCATCTCCCCTTATGTCATGAAGAAGAACCACCTCGCCCATTCATGTTTTTGTTAAAGCAACCTAAAAAGAGTTAGTTTTCACAACGGTTGTACTCGATCATACCTGTCAAGCTTTTCAAGTAAGCTGATGGACTTGGCCATTATATTGTTCATATTTCATTTAGGTCTGAAACTGAAAGTATCTCAAACGTAAGTTTTGTTGTTAAGATGATTCTTCAAAATCTTCTTCAATCATAAAAGTTTTCATGTTCTTATGGTCAAAGCATTGTTTGATGTGTTGCAGAACTTTTATCTTATATTTCTTCATTGTAACATACATATGTATCAGACAATTTAGTACTCTAAATTGTTTAGTGAAAAATTGGTCAGCAATGTATTCGTTTCTTACTATGGTACCGGTAAAGTAATGGTATCGTGATACCTTTTTTTCAAGTTTACATGTTAGTAGTGTGATGTTTTATGTTATAAAATAATTATAATACATTGCTTCTAAACAGAGAAAATATTGATTGATTCTTAGATGAGAAATATTGGTGTTTGCAGAGTAATGTAACTGTCATTGCTCCCAAATGGAAGTCATGTAGGGAAGCAGAAATTTATTTTGTAAAGCTATATAATTATTCTAAAATATTTTGAGTGTTTTTGAAAAGCAGAAATTGAGAAGCCACACATTTTCAGGGATGAAAGCTAAATGTATTTGTAAGTGTATTGAAGCTGTTAGAATCAAGTTTTAATTTTATTCTTTGTTAAGTTTCTTACTCCAATGTAACCTTTATAATTTTTTTTTTTTTGTTTATTTATATAAAGCTATATTTCAAATATGTTATCAGATTTAATTTATAATACAAGATGAATTCAACTTGATTAGAGTTTTGATTTAACTCAATTATTTTGTGGATGAATTGAGTTGGAATATGGTTTAGTGTTTGATTAAGTTTGAACATAGTATAATTTGCCATTTAATTTAATAATTAAAAATATTAATTTCATATTCCATACATTTAAAAAAATTGTTTTCATTTTATACTTTGTATTTTATTTAAAATATAATTATAATAAACAATAACTTGTAAATTAAAAATTCAATAAAAAAATAATTGTTTTATTAACCAGTATGTTAATATTTTTACTTTTTATCTAGAAAATTAACATAATAACAAATGCTAGATAGGAAAAAACAAAAAAAAACAAAAAAAAAAAAGCCCAAAAAAATATAAAATTGTGGGTTTGTTTTCCACATGTTTGAACTAAAACTTCGTTAATTAAAACTTGATTAGATTTGAGAAGAACTTGGTAAACTCGATAAATAAAGTATTGAAAAATGATCTTTAGCTCCCATCATCGCTTCTAATGAAGGATAAGTTTGTAATAACATAATATACATAAAAAAAAAAATTAATTCTATTTATTACAATTTTCCCCACATTTGATTATGAAGATGGGGCTACTAATCAAATTAGTGGGGTTGGAAAATCACTTCCCTAAAATATTTGAATGTTGTTATAATATTATATGACTTGATTATATATCTCAATGTGATTGTGGCTGTTATATAGTGATGACAATGGGTCAGGCCGGGATTGGATACCTTTTGGCCCAGGACCAAGCTCGACCTCATGAAAAAGGCCCAAGCCCGACTCGGGCCCTTCACGGGTATGACAAGTAAAGCCCAAGCCAGGTCCGTCGGGCTTTTTGTAATCTTAGGCCCGACCCCAGCCCGCCCATTTTATAATGTGAATTTTTAAATATTAATAAATTTCATTTTTTTTTATATTTTTAATTCTAGAAACAATTTTTAAATATTAATTTATTTTTGAATACTCACCAAATATATAATAACTTTCCACAAAGTGCATTTATCCATCCATGTAGGGTTTGAGAAAAATGAGTATATATATGTATGATAATATTGTAATTAAATATATAGTATAAGGGTAATTTAGTATAATTAATACTAAAATTGTTGGGCCAGGCCGGGCCTAAAGACATACCCAGGCCTAGCCCGTACCTGAGGTCGGTCCTTAAAATTAAGCCCAAGCTCAAGCCCGCGAATATCGGGTAAAGCCCGACCTTTTCAAGCCGGGTACCCAGAAATATCGAACCCATTGCCATCTCTACTGTTATAGTATATGACTTGTTTTGAAGCCACAAAAGAATAATTGGATTAAATAATCATGGAAACAAATAAACACAATTAATTATAATTTTTCTTTTTTAAATTAGAGGATTTTATCAATGACACTCTTTAAAGTTGAACATAATTACTAATAAAGATAGGTTGACAAATCATTTTCATTAATTTTCTCTCACAAACCCGAGGTGATAGTTCATTATTGGTTAGCTTGTAATTGTCAGACGGAACCCGTTTGGGAATTAACCAATTGTGAGCCGCCACCTCAAGTTTGTAAGAAAAAGTTAGTAAAAATGGTTTGTCAGTGTAATATTACTGTATAATTATTGTACCCTAATAATATTAGAAGGCAAATCTCATCATTGTTAGCTACATTATAGGGATAATTTCATTGTCTCTTAAAAGATAGTTAAGTCTCAAGCACTCTAATGGAGTTTAGAAAGTATTCAATATGCCTTAATTAGGGGTTCTTTTTTTTATTTATTTTATTTATATATATATAATATTATATATATTATATATATATATAGGTCATTTTGTTATTTTTCTTTTTTGAGGACTTTTAGTAATTTTTAGGGAGTACTGAAAATTCCAAAAATCTTAGGGGCGTTAACCTTTCATCATATTCGTGAAAGAAAACTGTATTCTTTATTGAATATTGATTATATTGTGCCATTTAAAAAAAATTGAATTTACATGCTTTATATAATACAAAGGTTTGTATTAACTAGTAAATATCAACAAAGGAAATAAATAATCATGGCTGATCTTGTATGGCTACAATCTTGGCAGATTTTCATCTTTGTCTGCTGTTGTAATATGCTCTGTTTCGGGCATATTTTCCTCTTGATCTCCTACTGTAATCTGCTCTAATTTGAGCAGATTTATTTCCTTTTTGTTGTCTTGGTTTGACTTTCCTTCTTTGCTATGTTAACTTGCTTTTTCCTCGAATCATTTTCCCTAACATCCCCCCTCAAACTTGGCAAGGGAAGAATCCATAGGCCAAGTTTGGCACAAATCATGAAATATAGTCTTTGAGAGAGGCTTTGTAAGGATATCCGTAATTTGATCCCTGGAATTTCACGAACCGAGTAGTTAATTGTCCTTGAGCGACTTTTTCTTACAAAATGATAATCTATTTTGATGTGTTTTGTACGGGCATGAAAAACAAGATTAATCGTTAAATGTAGAGCTGAAATATTGTCCCTAAATAATGTAGGGGTTTGAGAGACGCTGAATCTAATGTCATTTAATAAGTTATCCATGTGAGTTCAACTGGCTGTTGTTGAAGCTAAAGCTCGAAACTTTGCTTCTGTACTAGATCTAGCCATTGTAGGTTGTTTCTCTGCAAACCAATAGACGCAATTTGGTCCTAAAGAAGGTGCAAAATTCAGTAGTTGATATTCTTGAAAGCAGAACCTCCCCAATCTGAATTTGAACAAGCATAAAAATGAGAAGTAGGATAGGGAAAACAATCGAATACCATAGACAAGAGTTCCCTGAACATACCTGAGGATTCGTTTCAGTAATGAAAATGAAAATTTGTAGGTTTATGCATGTATTGACAAACATATTTGACACTATAAGCAAGGTCTGGCCTGGTAAGTGTTAGATATCTTAATCCACCAACTATACTTCGATAGAAGGTTGGATCTGAATATAAAGTTGAGTCTGTAGAATGACTATGAGGGACCATAGGAGTAGAAAGAGGTTTACAATTTTGCATTTTAGCTCTTTGAAGCAAATCAGCTGCATATTTTCTTTGATTTAAAATAAGACCATGGGAAAATAGGACTACTTCGACACCTATGGAGATATCCTAAGTCTTTCATAGCAAATTCGTTTCCAAGAGAACAAATAAATTTATTAATAAGATTAGGATTACTCCCAATAAGAATAAAATCATCTACACAGACAACTAAAAGAATAGTGTCATGTTTTCCCTTCAAAATAAACAAAAAAGTGTCAGCAGGGCTACAAAAGCTAAAAGAAACGTGTTGAATCTATCAAACCAAGTTCATCTATATAAAACTTTATCTAGTTTACAAACATGATGTGGTTTATCTTGGTCAATAAATCTAGGAGGTGCTCCATAAAAACCGGTTTATCCAATTTGCCATGTGTATGAGCCAAAAATTGTACTGGGTCTCTTCAGACCTAATAACGAAATACACATTGAATATGGTCCAGTGCCTTAGCCCAATTCCGGTTGGACTTACGCTTAAATCCATCTTGTGGATTGACCATCTTATAGGATGACCTAATTTGTAAGAAGGAACATTCTATAGGCATACCCATTCTATGAGCTGGACCACACCACGAGTCAACCCTCTCCAGGATCTGGGCTACTTTACAAGTTAAACCTCTTTATGAGCAAGGCCACCCTATGAATTGGGCCAACTTATTCCTTAAGCCACTCCATGAGTTAAGCCTTTCTATAGATTAATCTAAATCGGGCGCTAGCCCATTACCCCACGTTCGTCCCAACATAGGAATCAAAATCCTATTTATGTTCCAATTCAGTCAAGATTCTGAATCTTACTTGAATTGGTAGTCTTAACCCAATAAAGGCAAGTAACAAGACTTCCTAATTTGAACGCCTCTACCAAGTAGGACTCAAGCTCCCTTGAGCTCCTATATAAATAGAGGTCAAGCCTCTCATTATGCATTCAAAAATCATCCATAGCTCTAGCTCCTAAATTCTTGCTCTAAAAAATCATTGTTTTTTCTCGCCGTAAAGTTTCTGACTAACTTTACCATCCTCAGCCACTGCAAAGTTTGTGCACAAAACAAAGCGACTAAGTTGTGACTGTTAGAGGATCACAATCGCATCCAAGCTTTTGGTTGCTTCTCGAAGAATTTTCGTGATGTGAAGCGGCTTGTTACGATTGAGAACCTTAGGAAGCACAATTTCTTTTTTGCCGACGCATACCTGGATTCTAAAGCTTGTAAGTTTTCTCTTTGCCAGAAACTTAGTCTTTTATTTTCTTCTTTACGCTATTCACTAATTGCATTTGCTCTTTTGATGATGCAGCAATGCAACTGAAGAGAGTTAAGTGAACAACGGGGATCACATACCCCAGATTGCTTAGGCAGTCTAGGGCTAAAGAGACTTTGAGCAACGTCCTTGTAGCATGGACTCAGACTAGTGCTGCGAAGTGCTTTAAAGAGGAGAAACGTGTTGAAGCTCCTTAACCTGGGATGGAACAACCCCCAAAGAAGAAGATTACGGCTTCAAAGAAGAGGAGGAAGATAGTGGCAGAGAGGTCTTGATAAGTGCTTGAAATTACACTTATACTTA